ATGGAACGCATACAACCTTTAAGTGTTTTTCGTTGACGGATGGTATTTCAGTTTAACACTTGACTAGTTAAAAGGACGTAGGAGAGAAATTGATTGTGTTTGTCAGTGATGTGCAATAAGCAGAGCATTCTATCCAATGTAGAGGTAAAACGTAGAAATGCAATACAGAACCTGTCTGCCTGTTTGTTTTTTGTAAATGTTGCAAAACCAGGCGTTTGTCTATAAGAACTCAGGCAGATTCGAAGCTCTATGAACATGTTACTGTGTATCCGACATATCAAAAAGCCCACTTCTTATCACTTACTGTTTGTCGGCATGGGACATTCGCTTGGGCATAGCTAAAAATTTTGTCCAATTAAATCTACACAAGAGTAGCTAAATGTATAGCAAATAATCATTGTTATACAATAGCCTCTGATTTACCCCTGAGCAATCTCTGAGAACCCGAGCTGATCTAGAAGGTCGATTTGTGGGTTGTTATTTCTACATGTAAGGACGGTACAGTGGTTGATACCGATACCGTGTATGGTCCATTTTTTTTTGTTTAATTAACTGCTGATATATGTGTAGTATAGAAGCAAATTGCCATTTTGTTACTCTGCGCCGTAACTTCTGATATATATATATATATATATATATATATCCTTGATTGACCCCATTAATTTGATTTCGGTGTTCCAAGACGCAGTATTGACGCTTAATGTCCTAAATATGAATAGGAGTGTATGATCGCTAATAATGGTGGCCCGACCGAACTATCGAACCAACGGCATGCAACGGACAGCGTCGGATCAACGCTGGGTACTGTCCCAATATTTGTAAATTAGTCCAGTAATCAGAGCGAGTGTACCAACTCGAAGAAGTCATGTAGACATGCCGAGATTACTCGACCAGAATAGCCATAACTCTGCCTCGCTGTTATTGTAATGATCCAATGTAACACGTCGGGACAAGCGGTTCTAGTAAACTCGGTCTTTGCTTTTATCGTCTCTGTTCCCGATCTCTTATCCAGCTACCTCTAAAAACGAAGATGAAGCAACAGCGAGACTGAACTAAGCTAGCTATTGATATCGTCATGATTATAGAAAATTAGCATCGTTCAATGTTCAATAGTCGCACAATGTTCGATAACCCGTTCTATATAGAATAACGATACCTTCATGCTCGAATAAATATGGCCCGATAACGTCTCGTGCTCCTTATAAACATAGAAGACTTTTTTTTTTTTCATGCACTATACACATTTCCTTCCAAAATATTTATTCCGTGGTTTTTTGGGGCTATTATACAATCAATAAAAAAAAAAGGCAATTTCGAAAAGATACACGTTTTTTTTTTCAAAATTTACTTAACGTTCGAAAAGCTAACGTCTGTACTTCGGTTAGTTTATTATATGTATGAAATTGAATCAGGTAAAGATATACCTAAATAGGATTTGGCAGTTTTCATACGTGTAAAATATATTGTTATCATGTGGATGTTGAACCTTATAACATTTTCTACACTCAGTTTAAAACGCCGACAGAGGTCGATATTTACTTTCACTTTTATTTTGCCCATTGCAGAAACTCATCACCTGCGTGCTGTTTGAACGGCCCCCCCTAAGCGTACATTAGAGGTCTGGTTCTTTTTAACTAACCAAAGACTGACCGCAAGGAAATGATATTGTGTCCAAGGGAGCTTCCTTAATTGACGAGGGAGAGTAATAAAATTCATCATTTTTTCGTTGTTTATCAACCGTGTGAGACTTACTTAAGTTAGATAGGTTTATTGGAGTAAAAGTATGTCAGCATCTTCAGTAGTCAAAAACACGTTTTATTTACGTTTAATTAGTCGATAGGCATCACGTTATGGAACGGCTTTATATGCACATGTAATCAATGAATAGATTCATTTTGGCTCTCACAGATGGATGCCAAACGCGAGTAAATTAATCGATGCTTTTCTTAGCTGTGAATGTAAACTTAGACCTCAGGGTTGTTTTAAGTTCCATACTTACCATTGTCTTATCATACGAATCACATATTATCCAACGAACGTAGCATGTTTAGATTAATTTCGAAAAAAAAAAAACTCTTGTATCGTGCGCTACGCCAGCATTGCAAAACAGTTTTCGTGCTTGTTCCTCTCTCTGGTTATAGCCGCTGGTCGTTCCTGTAATTAACTTGAATATTTTGAATTCAAATACTTTTATTTAAATACTATCCACCCAAAATACTGTTAGGAAAAAACAACAGAAAGTGGCATGCGTCCGTGTTAGTCAATACAAGCGATGTATGGGGTGACTAAGTCAAAAATTAGGAAAGTTTCATCTTGGCCATAACGGGAGAGCCTCATGCATGCTATGAGCGACGGTACTTTGGCTTTAGATTTTTGCAAAGATTCTTCAATCTTCTCGTAGAGATGAGTTTTTTCTTCGCTAGTGTGTCAGTCATTTTCTCACAAGTTACGCTTGCATCGAACTGTTATGCCTCCACCGCTTGAGCAGCTAGCTCTGGCTATTATGATTGAGGCCAGTTTCGTAAACTACAGCTGGTTGACTTTATTAATTAATGTTAAAATTAATAGAGGACTGATACAATTTGTCACGCCAATTAACTTGATCTTTTAAGTTCTTCACATCATACATATTAATAAGGTCGTCTTCATACAGAGGCTTCATTAGTCTTTTCATTGAACAGTTAACGAAAGCTAGGTCGAAGATCAAAGGGAAAACGAGTTCTATTCCTTACCCGCAAAATCGATAAATTCGCATCTAATTTTTCAAAGCTAGAAGCTTGCCTTTTTGAATGGCGTTCACTAGAAAACATACCTGGGAACTTTACTTTGCCTGCTATAGCCACCAAAACGTATCACTTCTTATCACGAGGTCGTTTCTTTCGATAGAATATTATTTTTTGCAGCACGAAAAATTGCACATCTCGTTACGGTCGAATCAAGTTGAGAGTTAGAATGTTAGCTGGTATACATCACCTAAATACAAGTACTAACAAGAACCTTTGCACTATTCGGGTGGATATCCAGTGTTCGGATTTGAACCTGCACTGAAAAGCTAAAGTTCCTGGTGGATCTAGAGAGCACCCATTTTTGCGTGACCCTTCACCGACCGGTCGCTGTTTATTCCCGCCGGTCCTTCTGTTCATTTAATTGTTCTCTACTTCCTTCTACTATAATTTTTGGTAAACTTTTCTGTTTATCCGGCTCAAGCTCGCTGCCGAAGGCCCTCGATGGTAAAACGCGCGCCTCTTTTTAGAATGGGTGGTCGGTAATTTTTCTTCTACGTATTGCCCTCGATTTCTCTCGTTAACCCTCAGTTAAGTCTCTTCACCTTATCTAACGCTTCGTCCAGTGGGTAGGTTATCCTAGCTTCCCTTTAATCTGCCCCTTGCAATCCGCTTTTGAACTCGTCCGTCGTTCGGTCGACTTTCCCACTGCCTCTCAACTGACCCAAGTAATCATTCGTTTACCTCTTATGGGAGCTGCTTTTTAATTACAGCCACAACTTGCCCCCGATGCCCCTTTGAACCATCGCTAGCGCCGCTGGAGCTTTTGCCTCCCCCCCCCCCCCCTCCCGCGCTGCCCGGTTCGAAATTATCGCTCCATCCGTTTCGACTTCGCTGCACTATATTACTGAAGCTTCCAGCGATTTTTCGATCCCCCAGTACATCGACATTAACTGCTAGCTGCCGCCCGTGCAATTTTCCTTTTCTTCTGCGACTGCCGTCGACTCGCCTCTGTGTTAGTACAGTGAGCGAACCGAGCCTGACGGCATCACAAGCGAATACACACTACCAGGAGCTGCAGTCTCGACCGGACTCAACACGACTAGACAACGAAAACTGCCATTGGATAGGGCACTAGCCAGCCACTGCGCGGTACTACCTTCTCCTTTACTGACCCTTCCCCGCTGATCGTGGTCCAAGCCTCTCCCAACATATCGTGTCCTCTCCCCTGGAGTTCTGAGAGACATTCTCTCTCGAGTCAGAGTGGATTGTCAACAGCGTAGGGAGAGGAGGGTTGCGTCTGAGTCGTACTGACTAGCCCGCCAACCGTCCGTCAACGGATAATTTGTTCATGGCTAAATGAATAGGCCCACCTAGTTATTTTCTAGCCCCGGTTGGGAGTCGTTTATAGCTAGCTCAAAACAAAATTTCGCATCACAACGGTAATACACGATTGTACGCTGCTCCTTCTGCTTTCTAGGTATCAATTCTGATTTAGAAATGATGGGATAAAGTGTAGAGCAGCCCCAACGATTTCGCTGTCATTACCTAACCATCGTCGAGTAATAACCTTCGAATAGGTTATTAGATGTCTTTAGTATAAGTTTTGTAACGTTTTAAAGACAACATAGCACGAGTCAACCTACTAGGCTTTTCTCTGCGCTTGACGCTGTGAGAAAACAGACTCCGAAATTCAAAACAATTCCTGAAAATAAAGGCTATGCTTTCCGTGTGCAAAGTTTTTTGATGCGACTCTGAGGCGGGTACTACTATGTTCTGATATTTTTCTCCCTTTTCTTATTATCTAATTGTTCTCTATATGGTGTCCGTGTGAAAATGTAACGTGGTTATAGAGAGATATCTTTAATGCTCTTCCCACCTGTGTATTTGGTGCTATGTATGTGATTAGACTGAACGTAATTGCTTCCTGACTGGATAAATTGTGAAGCAAATGTATTCTTGCATCGTGTAAGTGCCGTGGCTGCGTAGCAATGTTTTTGGCAAGGACCAAATATGATGAGCCTTGAGGACTACGGATACTCCTTAGTGATGCTGTGCGATTTTGACGGTATTGGATATTATTGAGGATAGTACCAAGAACAAGTGCGTGATGATGTGATGATGGTAAGTGGATTGTGGATAATGCTGTCTTGCCGTTAAGAACGACAGGGAGAATTACAGCTGCACCACAGACGGACAATATCTTCCGGTAGCATGGGGTACCAAAATGGTGCTGAAGATTGCAGCGCCAGGAATAGAACAAGCGAGAGTCTTAAACAACGCTAATAGGAATCAATGCCGAAAGCGGCAGTGTATGAGTTAGGCCGACGGTGAGGAGACATTTCGAACAACTGGGGAGTGTATCTGAGCACCGGGATCATATAATAAACGTCTTTAGCATGTGGATAACAACGAACACCTTTCAGCAGTTGGTTTATCTGCCGGTGTTGTGGCGACAGCTATTGTTGATTTTTCTGTGCCTGGGACAGTTACTAGCCCCAGTATGGGCTGGACTCCGTACAAAAGGTAAATATTATCGACTACCGTTTTGAGAATAGTTCATGTTCAACCTACAGAGGACTTGAGTTGGAAATGTACGTCTTATATATCCGTGGACGTTAGCGGGGCGATCGGCGATGTATTAGTGCGGGAAAAGAAACAGTAATGGACATAAATGTACGAGTGGACAAAAAGTTCTTCGGCTGAAGCCGTTTTTCCTTGATCTGTTATCGATTAGAACAATTTTAGCTTGACGGCATCCAAATAGGGACGTTTTATTCGACGTAAATAAACAATTTCTTACTGTTGGTTTTTCGATTACATATTGTGTAGCAACGGGTAAAGCTACTTTGGACAGCCTAGGCACTTTCGATATGCGGTTCTTTACACCTACATAAGTCACGTCTTTTTAGTTTTAAAATCAGCTCTATCATTTGTTGTAAATGTTGTAATTGTAAATGTTTTGATGCTGAGATAGCTCGATGGAAACCTGCGATCTCATATACCAATGGACTATATAAAACCCATTTAGCACAAAAAATTGATATCTGGGCACAAATCGTACGTATACTTCTAACTAGAAGAACAGTATACGCTATCAAAGATTCTCTAGCTACTTAACAATATCGAGATGGGCATGATGCTTAAGTGAATCTGCTGAGTTTTTTATCTGACTGACTTGATACCCGTATTTAAAATATACCGAATGGAATTAGATTACCGAAGGTTTCATGTCACATATGACGGCAATCGCGGAAGTTTCAAGATAAACTATCATGACAAAACACAATTGAGAAATAAAGGATACTTTTTGACAGTTTATTTTACTCGCTAATGGCGTATCTGCTTTTTCCGGTACCTGAATTCGTTCATTATGTACCGAGACATACACTGCATGTTCCCATTGACATCAATCGAGTTGTTGGCGCATCATATTTGGCTTTTCGGCGAGTAGAAAGGTCTTAGATTAAATCGCGCGTTCCGTCCGCAATGACGACAGCAGGGGCAGGGTCAGGCCAGACGAAGTTGCCGCCGAGTCCTTTGAGATATCCTGCCACCTGAAGCGCGCTGAAGCGTGCCACGTACGGCAAACGTATGCCTTCGTCTGTCCCTAACTATTAGCTACCATACGGAAAGCCACGATATAGAAAGCGGCTGGTCAACTTCTACAACGTCGTCGTCCATCAATAGATTGTTAATCATGGGGTCATCATTGGCGTGGAATCGGCCGTCGAACCTCGCTGACGGGTCCCTGTGAGTATGTTTATGGGCTTGTGGGGCCATCCACTTGCTATTCTCGGTGATGTAAATTAGATATAGCACTGGGTTTTTTTCACCGTTAGCTGGGTTGTTCGTTTCTGATTGGGCGGCGACAGAACTTGCGCCCCACAAACAGATATTTATACTTCCTTGTTTCCAAATTTGTGACTTTTGACGCACAGAGTTGCGTGCACTTGAACGATAGATCATAAAACCAGAAAATGTTACGGTCATAAATCGCTGTTAACAATATGTTGTATACCATGTTTAATAAATATCGTAGCTAAGCCAAAAGCTTCAACATGGCAAGTGGAAGCAGTATACTATGAAACAGATCAATATACTTACATAAATGTTTTAACAATTTCGGAATCCTGTAACAGCAGTTACTAGAGCCTTCCTGCCTGTGTACAAATACGACCTAAAGTATCGGAACGGTCACCCGAACAATTGCGCGAACTTATGAGACAGCTGCCCGCAATTGTCCTGTGCCTCGTTTATAAAAGCAGAAGAACATAGTAAAGCTTTCGTAAAGCAACAGCGCTTTAGAAGTTGTGCGAAATCACCCAAGCGATCATTTTCTCATGTGAATTCCACACGGCAAGATTGTGAAACCTTGACTCTTCTTAGCCATTATATTACAGATTAGGTCGTCCCTTCCGTCCTTTCCAGTCAACTATCTTCCACATGTTCCACTTATTCTGAGGTAAACAGCCTAAACGAAGCAGTAACAAAGTGCAGATGTCGGTTTCAGCTATAGTTTCTTTTATTCTATGTCAAGGGATTTGCAATATGTGTACAGCGGATTCTACTCCGTCAGGCAGACAATCGGCTCACACGGTCGATATGGCATCTACCTGACCTGGTGCAATGTTTTTGTATTGTGTAAGGGGCAGCGCTAGGCGGTGAGGAAGGTATATGTTTATATAAAACATGTCTTTCGACTCCAATATTACTGGTTCCCTGCTACAAAAGGGTTTCTCTATACTCAATCGTATTACCGTTTTTATTTGGCCGCTTACACTACACGGAGCGCTAAACAGATATGATTGTAGGACTGTGCAATGATTTTTTTTTCTGATCTTTTTTGCACAGTTGCTTTGGAGGTCGTCCACGGTAGACAAGGCGATCAAATGAGGGTTCGACGCGTGGCCAATATGTATCCATAGCATTGCCGCATCGTGTCTAGTGAATATACAAATATGTATGCACATTAGAAAAGAAGAAGCGATGGGGGGAATACTCAACACTATATCCATCTATTTGTCTGTTGTAATGCGATATAGGAACCAGTAGCAGAAGCACTATACTTATCTCTGACGACGTGCCGATGAGGGGCAGCGTGTGAAATATGCACGCGGGTGCATCACGCCCATAGATGATATCTGAAACGTTCTCATCGTTTACGCGAATTAGCCGATCATCTCTTGCAACTGTGGACTATATACGCCATGTCTGTTTGTTCGCATGTACGCTCTTTAATCCTGTGAGGACACGTATAGAACTAGGTATATCGAACACACGCGCGTACCAGAACAGCCCGTAATCATCATCTATACTGAGCAGCGCCTATAGATGCTTCTCGTTGACGTACACACGTTCGTCAGTAGGAACGCAACAATAAAGAAAATTACGTCCATGTATTAAAATTTTTATATTTTAATAGAGCTGTATCTTTATTCTTAAGTGGTATAGTTATACTTTACTATTAAATAGATTGCTTGATAAGTTGTAGTGCTATGTAAGTTTTTGATGACCTGGATAGCTAACAAACATACTAACGAAACGAGACGCTCATTGATTCAAGCCCCGCCAAGTAAACGACATATGTGATTAGCCGTATAGTATTTTTCCTGTGCATTATATAGACAAAGATAAATTCCGTAATAGAATGCTTAATATCGTGACTGTTTCTGTTAATTTTTATTCCACAGTTAATTGGAAAAAGCTCAATCAACTCTATTGATTTATGCTTATATATCATACATTATTAGCAAATCATTCAGAGAGAGAGAGAGAGAGAGAGAGAGAGAGAGAGAGAGAGAGAGAGAGAGAGAGAGAGAGAGAGAGAGAGAGAGGCCAATTATTTCGAAAACGATTCTCGCGATTTTCGATGCTCTGCTGAATTTGGCGCACTTTGATGTTTTAGAAGAGAAACTTATTAGTGGATTATATTGACACCTTTTTTCCTTGCAACTGAAAGCTAGGTTAATTGAAGCGGTTCTTCTATCTCATCCTTTGCTAGTACTGATGGCCCGGTTGGGTTTGGGCAAATCCTTGGAGCAAGCGGAGCAGAAAGAGCCGACGAGTGTCAGAGTAGAGGAGAGTAAATAATCGAGGGCCGATTGTCAGGGTCTGGGTTGGACTGACGTTGTTACCGTAGCCGGCCGACGACTTGTCTTTTTTTTCGTCTCGTTTCTGATTCGCTCGCTTTCGTGAGCATCGAGCGAGACAGAGTCACTCTCTTTCTTTCGCTTGTTTCTAAATCCTATCCAGTTAGCGCTGCTCGGGCTTTTGTCTTCGAAAGGGCCGCCGACGACAGAAGAACGGACGGAGGTGTGGGAATAAAGGCTGCTAAGCTAAAGAAAACAGGCGACATATAAAACGTACCAACAAGAGCTATGTCTCAACTGTGCTTATGTTGTGTTCCCCCTGCGCTCCTGCTTTCTTGTTCACAATTGACCATGCCACCAATCACTCGTTTGTCCCTTCTTGCCAAGTTATTCCCCCGAAGTTATTCGTGTGTTTCCCGCTCTTTAAATCAGCTTCTGGCTGTCTGAAGCCGTCGTCTCAATGAATGCCTAGACAAGCTGAGTAGACGCCGGTGGCTTCAGCGACACCGCTCGGGTCGAAACTGGAGAGAAGATGCCGGCTGAGGGTTAAGCGACCAGTAGCAATAAGGAAGACGGTCCCGGGCGGGTTGGGTTCGTGGCTCTAATTTTCATAAGCTTCCTACTCGGCTTTTCTAGCCCTGCCGGCAGCAACCGTCATCTTTTTCTTTGTCTTTTGCGCTTCCCAGGCGACCACGTCCACCAGACAAGAAGACAAAGGAGCACGCGGGCTCGGCTAGCGACTCCGCTATCCGTCCACGGCTAACTCTCGTGAAGGATTAACGGAACAACGCCACCGCACCCTGTCGTAGCGTGGACCAGCCAAGAGGGCTTTAAGAACAAAGCTAAGACAATGAATAACGGCGGACGAAGGCAACGAACAAGCAGAAAGACGACCACTTGACGTTCTACATTTAAATGCGCCTGCGAGCATAATGAAGCTGAGCTTTTCGTTAGAAAGATCAATCGTTTGGCTGTTCCACTAAAATCAAATACTTCGACTTCTACGACAAAAGCGTCATTAGCAGTCCTCACAACCTGACTATTTATAATTGCCACTGGTCCTAGTTTTACAACATGGCTTTGGGCGGCTCATTACTAATGTAAAACGAAGTGTACGACACACCAGGTTTCGTACCAAGACCGTCCCATATAGAACTCGTTAAGCTTAGTGGGCAAACACATTGTGAAGACAACATCACGTGAATTCAAGTTATTTGCAAGTATCCAGTAAATCAGCTAGCGAACTTCCGTACAAAACTAAAATCTATGACCAAATCAAAAATGCAATGGATCAAAAAATGGTAGTAGAAGAAATTGTGCCAGTATCATCGTTTAATGGAAACTTCAAGTTTGAATCGTTCGGCAATTAATAAGAAAATTTCTTCTTAATACTGAGATTTTGGTGTACGTAATTCATAGCAAACGATTTGATCA